AAGCATTCTATGATTCTATGATCCTCGGGTCTTACTAACTTTCTTGGTAAAGAATTATCTTGGCTTGAGCCAGGAAAAGTGGGAACTTGCTTAGAACTTGGGAACATTTTTATTACTTTTTATTTCAAAAAAGTAAAAAAATAAAGACATTGGCATTCTACAATAAACACAATTAAAAAAATAAGAACCTCACATCATATTTCCCCAACTCATTATCAGGGGTTCACAGAGGTACTCATATGCCATTAATAAATGACAGGTTTTAATTATATTTATTTGCGCGTGAATCTGGAGATATGTTTATTTTTTTGTTGTTGTTTTTAAAAAAGCTGATTAGAAATTGTATTTTGGTCTCCTAAAACCAAACATGGTTAGTTCTTTGACCAGCTAATATATCTAGACCAAAATCTAAACAGAATGTCATCATATTCAAAAATAAAATAAATAAATATTGGGATTATATTCATTACTAAACATTTGTCTTCTGTGTAGAATCAATGCAGTAAAAACATTAGTGCCATAAGTACAGAAAAAAGCATTATATTACCACCATGTTACGCAAAAGTTCCAGAAGAACTTGTGCCAGTATTTTTACCTTGCCATCTTGATGTATGCACTCATTGAGGTAAGCCAAAATCTTTTCTATCACACCCAACTTTTTCACTGCATTATGCATTTTGGTATCTGCAAGAAAAAGTGTATCTATATTAGGAGCCCCTGGTGCCATATATAGCTTCTTAGTGTTCAGTAACAAATTTGTGCTCTTGAAAGCAGCAGTTTCCCAAACTGCTAACAAACAAAGGAGGTACAGCTAAGGCACAAGCAAGGTAAGTCCCCACTAGAGCGTTATCAGCAAAACTTTAGCACTTCTTTCAGAGGGATTGGCTACAAAGCATAAGTGTTATAGAAGTCTTCCTACAAAGCTGAACTGTGCAATTTAGGACAATAAATGAGAGAGAGGTGTCTGCCTAAAAGTGAAAAAGACCTAAAACATCCAAATGACGGAGCAGCCATTACAGGACATATTTTAGCCAGTAATTTCTTAACCAAATAATAATGGAATCATTATGGTTGGAAAAGACCTTCAAGACCATATAATAACAACAACAACAACAACAACAACATCTCCATTTCCTTTGCAATCATCTCATTATGCACAATTACAAATGCCTCTTAAACACAATTATTAAGAAACCTAAATATCTTCCCAAAAATGTCATTATGTTCTTCACCTACATCACCCTCAGTATAACTCAAATACTGGCCACACAGGATTTCACTTTTAATATTTGAAGTTTTCAATAATTTAACATGCAACAATTTTAAATTGGTCATGAATCTGTTAATGAAAAATAACAATAACTATTTTTTTTCCACTGAAACCATCTTTCAGAACATCTGGTTCAAGAATACTTAGCAACACAAAAAGCCATAAGCTGTTTGGGTTTGTGATTCTTCATATTAAATTTGTTATGATAAAGCAGCAACATTTTTCTTTTATAATTTCATTCTATGCTAGATTTCATGTTTTTGTTTTTAATCTTCTGAAAACTGATAGTCATAGCAAAATGTATTTTACAGGATATAGGAAGCATTTCTTCATTTTTATGTTATTTCTGATAACAAAAATTCTTAGTTCAATATTGTCTAAGATCTCTTCTTCTCAGGGTGGAAACAAAAAAAAATATTCTAACATTGTGGCTTGTCTGCCTTGAATAAAACACATATTTGAACCAGAGTTTGAGTGGGTAGAGTATTGACATCCAGGTCTAAAACTTCAGAGTAGTGGTTCTGTACAGAGTCAAATAATGCTCTATTCAAGATTACCTACTTGCATCTAAGTAGTCAAATATTCTTTACCAGAACTTATCAGTTTTTCCTTTGTGAGCAACAAAATCATAAAAAGCTGTGATGCATATTTATGATGAGTCACTTAAATCATAATGAGTATAAGATGGAACATCTTTCCAGCAACTACTATCTTACTATATGTAAGAATATATTGTTAAATTAATATTAAATTTAAAATTACATATTATATTTCATAATTTAATAGAATGCAAGCTCCCTGTGGAGCCTGCATCTTCATGCTACTGGAAGAGTAGAATCTCAGAAGTTTATCTTGAGTTTACCAAACTCTTAATCATGAAATCAGCATTTAAATTTACTTTAAATGTGTATCTAGACTAACTCAACTTAGAAGAAGAAATTCTGGAAGCTAAAAGGAACTTGTCACTAAGTGACAAACCCGTTTCACTAGTTTGCACAATCTGAGAATGACTTTATTACCTGAAACACAATACCACTGAAAATATTTATGTTTCTTAATGACCTTCGCCTGCCTTCCTGCACATAGAAGTAGCTGAATGTGAAGAATTATTAATTCAAACATCACAAAATGAGAAATCAAATGGAGAGAGAAAAACAAACAAACAAACAAACCACTATTACAGAACTTACAGAAATAAGTTGCTGTTTTCTACACTATTACTTATTCTTGAGTACATTAACAAATAACTAAGTTCTGATTTAGATTGTATTTTATCACAACAGTACAATATTGTTGCACTCTGGTCAAATGATACAGCTAAGGTCTATGTAAAATAAAAGCACCCTTAATAGAAACATAAACAAAACAGCCAAACAGTAGTAGTCACTGAAAATCAGCAGATGAATAAAAATTTTCTAAAGAACTTTACCTTGCAAAATTATAGCTAGTTGTTCAGCTGCTGACTTTCGTAGAATTAAGTCAACAGCATCAGAGGTCAAGATGCTATAAAGTTTTTCAACAGTTTCTGCCTAAAAGTAAAAGCATATTTAGATTTACATACAGTATGCTACTGTGAAACAAGGTAACTAGCTAAACTTCATGACAGAAAGTAAAAAATAAAAAGATTTATATTCTCTATTAGAATCTGATTGGATTCCACATGTTCGTGATAAAAAAAAAAAAGGATTAAGTTATAATCTTCTTTTAAGAAATCTCTAATAATTCCTGGGGCACATAAGAGAATAGTTTTTAGCACACAACAGCAGACTTCTAATCAGTAGATTAGGAAGGATTACAGAAACCTCAGAATTACACAGAAATGCTGCAATACACTTCTAATTTAGTGAACAGGAGTGCTTTTTCAGGAGCAGCAGGGTTAGAAAAATTAAAATAATTGTGAATTCACATACAGATTTAAGATCCTAACTTGGGGGAGATAGTCCTTTAAACCTGCAAGTTTTGAGTGTAATGGAGAAAGAAGCAGCGGTGGTAAGAAAATACCTTAGCTGATTGAATAAAAAGATAGCTTTACTCATTGGTAATATACTTGTGATTTGTTTTCATTTTGCAGACGCTGCAATACTAAGAAAACACAGACAGAAGTTTTACATCTATATTAGAATATTTCATATTAAACTATCTTTGTGGCTGTTTCAGTAACAAGGGACTCTGGGTTGAAAAATAAAATCCCTGCCTGAGAAAAATCAGACTCTTTCTATGCACAGTTAAAATGTAAATATGGCAGGCTTGTAGGATTTGCAGTTAAGCAATTTCTTAAGCTTAACTTATCTCCAGAGAGGAAAAGAAAAAAAAAAAAGCAGAATGAATTGTTTTCTTACTCATTGCTGCATCTTGTAGTGTGAAAACTATTGTTAAACATTCACACAGAGAGAATATATCTATGCATGTATCTTTATCTATCTATCTGTACATATAATCCTTTTTGTGATATGAGATGATTCATATGAAACAATTCAATCTCCTGAGAATGATAACTTAAGCTACCAGACAGGTGGAAAAGAGTTGAGGAATGACAGAATATTTAGACAGACTTTATTCACCTTAAATACCGACTCTGTTTTATCATCCAATTTCAGCTCAATAGCTCTTTCTACAATAAACAAGTTTGAAATGATGGATAACACACTACCATGCAGATGTGGGCGTTTCAGGTTGGCTCCTTCTTCATTCAAAAGATGGAATGATAAATGTTTAAGTGCTACAGAACGAACCCTAAAGGAGTAAATGATTAAAAGAAATATATAAAGTCCTCATACTGGAAAACTTTAGCTTTACAGTTAAACATTATATAGGTCATAAAATTTCTATTTGGAAAATACTCAAATCAATATTGGTTAATCTGCTTTTTAAGTCCCCTTGTACTACAGGATGTTACTCACAACTGTTTTTTTGAGAAAAGAAGACGGAGAGCTGCCCGCAGTCTAGTAGCTCTAGGGAGAACACCCTCTCCTTGATCAGAGCTTGTCTCACTCAAAGTGAGGATACAATTACCTAATGTATCTTTTGTATCAGCATAACCCTAAAAAAAAAAAAAAACTAAATTAAAAAGCTTAATAATGAGTAAACTAGAGGATACAATTCTGTTTTATTTTTGGGAACGTGATTAAGGGGGAATGGAGAAGCATCAAAAATGCAACAACTTTAACAAAACCAGATATTCCTCCATGAAAATATTTTTTAAAAACTACCTTATTTTAAAAAGAAAAAAATATGATCGAGGAATATTTTAACTGGTGAGCTTTGCCGAGTTTTCCACATATTCCTTCAAAATTTCAAATTCTAATATTATCAGGCTAAAGTTGTTTACCAAACCGAAAGGAGTAACTTTTACTGGCATTAGGACCCATACAAAACATTTCTCCATCTGACAGCTTAATATCTGTTCATCTACTTTCCAGTGCTGCTGTTTACATATCTCATACATCAAATAGCATATTCATACCGAACAGCAGAGATACCTGTAAAATAGGAATGACGGGATAGAGGGCCTCAATAAACTTGTTCCAAGTCAACACCGTCATTACAAGTCGTCCCTGCAATAGGTACATCAGAATGGACTTGGCAGCAGAGTTCACCTGCTCGGTAACAAAAAAAAATAATAATAATAATAAAGATGTGACAGCCTAAGTGTCTAGGTTAGTTTGTCAATACTGAAGTATAAGGTTGTCTTCAAATTTTATACAAACACAGCTCAAAGGGAAAGAATCTATGAACGAAATGTACTCTCACTGAAGAACGTTAATATTTACTGTGACTGACAATTTAAAAGTTGTAGAAAAGCCTGTCAGAGAAGATACTTTTCCTTTTAACAGGACAGACAAATTCTTGGAATTTAAAGCCTCTAAGCTCAAGATACTAATAAAAAAGTGAAATGCCAGAGTTTCATTGCAAGGTTACACATCTATAAAATACATGGTTAATTTATCTTCACAGCCTTGGAGAGATGACTTCAGAGAGTGTAATTCCTTTCCAGGTTATACACGCAGCAGTGAGTCTAAGCACATGATGTGCCAATGGTGAAATGTTACCTTTCAAGATGAAATTGTAATATACCATGAGTATTGGAGGGTTTTTTTAAAAAACATTATTTTTAATGTAAGAATATGCTTGAATTTCATTTAGCATATTTTTTTAAACGATAGTTCTTGATACCTTTTTATTCATCTCCAAACCCTAGGTTTTATTTTCCAGAAAGACCAATTAATTTTTCTAAATTAAAAAAATATATATTACAAGTTATACACCTATTAACTTCTCTGTCCTCCAGGAAAAACAAATTATTATATGTACTTTTTTCTTATATTTTTGGGTCATTTTATTCTCCAATTCCCAGATTTTATTTGCAATATTTCTGGAGCTACAAGAAGATAAAGTCTCAAAACCTGTTTTATAGCCATTACACTTGGAGTTGAACAGTCAAACTCAGGCAGCTATCAAAATTTTTCCAATTTTATGTGAACTTATTTGTAGCTCTATATTGAAAAAGGAAAAAATGGCACACAATATAGTATTCTCAATAGTCACTAATGTATGTTGAAAGCGTTCACACGCTAGGAGTTATTGTTGCTATAAAGGAAGCTTTCTTGTTTTTAAGAATTATTTCCCCTTGCGTTATGTGGAAAAAGTAAATAAAAGTCTGTCGTTAGCTGTTTGGAGAAAAAAAAAAAAAAAAAAGGCATTTTAGTGCATAACTCTCACTCCAGACAAGAATAGTCTTTCAAAATATCATCCTAGCTCATCTTTAACAGTTGGGATTTTTTTTTTTAAAAAAAGTGTTTAGGATTATACTCAATTTCTTTGCAATGTCACAAGCATGAAAGATCAAACTGATGTTTAATGATAATTTAACTAGCAGAGATACATCTAAACAGTAGAAAGAGTAAGCATGGGCACAACCTGAATTGTGTGCTACTTTGCCATATGCCCACTTTGGTAAGGCTGAGTATACTACAGGAAATTATAAAATTTAAACCTGCAGCTTATTTTGTTTTCATTTTGCACTTATTACATTGAATAAATAGCATCATGCTACTAAGAACTATTTTGATGCATGCACATCAGCTTACAAATACAGCATAAATACAGTACCTCAGTTTTATTTTCTTGAAGACCAAATGTAGAGATTTCATATAAAACTTTTGGATGAAGAAGAAAGTGTACTCCATGGCAGATTGAAGACACAGGTTTAGCAGCATTATGAATACCTAAACAGTCCTTCAGTGAAAATGAAAGATGGTTAATTTTAAAATTCAAGAATGTCTCCACTACCACAGTTGTTTTATAGGCTGCCAGAGGTTGTCACCCAGTGAAAAGCAACTAAGACTACAATTCTGAAAGCTAAACATTTCGATATTTAAACAAACGCCTTTGTACTTCATTAACTGAAAATTCCATTTGCTATACAGGCTAAGAAACAGAAAATCATTTTGTCTTAATTTTAGCAAATAGCAAATATAAATCAGAAAAAGTTTACATATCATTCATTATTACAACAAAATAACCAAAATCTAATATAAGGAGGTAAATATGCCATACACATCATTTGGTGGAAGTAGTTACCTTTTTTTTTTTTGTGGTAGACTAGTTCAGTTAGCTTTTCATATTAGTGAATTGTGCTTTAAATACAATGTGAAGTTTAGCAGGTGCCCATTATACAAATAAGAATGACAAGTAACACGATATCAAAAAACTATAAGTTTAACCAAGTCTGTAGCTATCCTGAAAAGCTTTGTTCAATCTATTCTAACAAGTATATGCTAGGCTCGATAATTTTCGAAAGGAAGAGGGAATATACTAAATTTAAAGCCAACATTGCAGAGAGGTTTCAAAGCATGTCTGTCTTCTGCTGGATTAAAAGTCTTTATTTCAAGGGCAACTTTGTTAATTTTAGGGGTCTCACTCACACACCAGGCCTTCATTATATTAAATGATACACACACACTCTCACACACACACACACACACACACACACACACACAAAAAAAAACGCCCTAACACAACAAATTAAGGTGAGGCATATTTAGTTTTCAAGAAGCAAAAATGCCTGTTTAACTGCTGGCCTTGAAACACAGCCTGTATACTTCACCACAAGCAGTAAGGATTCTACAAGCTAAATTAAATCTCACTGATACGCACATATACGAATTCTGATATGAGTTCTTTCAATGGAATTTCATAAATTAAATGATTGCAACTCAGTACGTAAACCAGCTGTTCAAGAAGGAATCTGCTCTCTTACATTCTTCAGTTTTGAAGAGCTAACTTCTGCCTAATGGTAGAGACGGTAATTCTTTTTTTCCACTGATTTAAGCAAATATTACTAACTACCTAAAGAGACTTCATGAATAAGACACTGTCATTACTGTTTAAGAGTACAGTCATACTTTCAGAAAGTTTACATTTTTTACCCCTTGAGCTTTCTTTAAAAAAATAACTCATGAATATAGTTAAAAAGAAAAATACAGACAAAAGTAAGTATAGATCCTGGAGATTTTAAAACTTTAAAATAATAACACAAAAGGATTGACTTGCTCTTAATCGTCTACATAAATATGAAGAAAGAGACATTTTTGTTTCAGATTTTCATACAGTTTAAACAAAACAGAATCCAGATAAAAATATATATTCTGAAATCATGTGTATATTACTGGTATTCTGTTTTGCTTTCCTTCAGTGAACAACCTTGTGGAAAGCAGCCAGATCAAAAAGATTGTGCACTCATGTTCAATTAAAAATATAAGGAAAGCGAAAAACTGCTAAGAAGAGAATAAAATCAGAGCAACTTTTCAGCAGACAAGCAAAACTGAATAGTTGAATAAAAAATAGTAACAATAACTTAAAAGGTGAGCAAAGCTCAGCACTGTGAAAATCTCAGTATATAGTATGTTAAACAGATTTTTCTCTAAGACAGTCTCAAACTAGTGACACCAGAATATATATCTTTATTTAGCATAAAATAAAAAGCGTTAGTTCTCACCTTAACCACTTCCAAGCAACAGCGATAGGCTTCAGTTTTTATGTTCTGCACAGGATGAGACAACAGATGCAGAAGCACCTTCTGACTCCTAGTCTGGAGCACTGGGTTGGTCTGGTCAGATTTCCAACTAAAAAGGAAATTCACACAATAAGGTTAACCATGATTTGTTTTATGTAAGGTATGAAATTATTTTAAAGTATCCAAAGATGTCTTAAAAATGTTAAATTTCATAATCCTTTGAAAATGTTTTTAAACTCTGATAGAAATTAGGAACCTGATAAACATACTTACTCATCTGAAAACACCACATTCTATAGAGCTCCAGTAGGCTCTGTAGATCATAGTATACACTTATAAAAATTCTATGCTTTCAGAATGCTTTCCTTGCAGAGGTAACAGTTAAAATTAAAAACAATATAAGTGAATTTCTTGTTTTTCAAAATAGTAATCACAGAATAATTCTAAAGCAGTAGAGAAACGGTAAAACACATTTCTACATTTCATATCTTTAAGACAACTGTTACAGCGCTGTTAAATGTAGTTCCACATTAAGAGTTTTTCAAAAAAAAATCACTACAGTATTAAGATTTTATATCTCTAATCAAGCGCTTAGTAGAGATTTTTTCCAGGTATCACAGAGTAACTTAAATTCTCTATCCTAGAGATAGAGAGTATTCAGAAAAGCAAATAACTCATTATTTAATAAATGAGCTGCCATATTGCAGTACACAGCATCTGAATGAAAATAAAGTCCTTTAGGATTTCTGAGTGTAAAATAATCCAGTTATACAAATTCGCCTGAAACAGGAGAATTCATAAAATACTGAATAGAAAGATAAGCCAAAGTTTTAATACATTTTCTCTGTAAACCACATGGTAACTTCATAAACATAAGCATACGGGGGTAAATCCTTGAAAATGAATAATTGGGTTTTTAAGTACCTGAGATTCAACTTAAAATCCAATCTTCAATAGGATGGTACAAAGCATACCAAGAGATGTTTCAATAGCTAATATTATACATGACTCAAATATAGAGCATTAAAAAAGTCCAAGACCCTACAACTTGAGAAAGTTTTTCTATAAAGGGTTTTTTTTAAAAATTACAGAAGTTTAATAGTAGTTTACTTACATATTGGAGCATATTTGGATGCATTCGTGAAGTAAGGGAAAGTGCTGATGGTAAGGGAGACTGCTTAAGGCCTGATCTGCCAATTCTATTAATTCAAAAAGATTCTTATCCCCCTGAAATACAAAATAAAGGGAAAGGACTATCAGTATTATTAACAACCTTAAAAAGTTCCTGTACCATTTTTCAGAATTATCATATAATACATCTTCTAACTACAGGTTAATTCAGCCCTTCTCAGAAAAATTATACAGTTAACTTGATTCACTAAGAGATTTAAAATAAATACATTTTAGTACCTGTTCTTGCCATTGCTGAATCCCAAAAAGCTTTTATTAAATGCAATGGGAGTAAAGAGTAGTTGATGTTTCTTGCATGAACACAGTAACAGTAGTCAAAACACTTTTTAAAATGCCCAAGAAGAGTTTTTCTTTGAAGTTTGTTCTTCAAAATTGAAATACATTAAATACATATATATATATTCATTTTTCAGGAGAAGATATAATGCAGAATTTAACTACTTTTAAGAATTCGCTGTTAACACTCAAGAATGAGATTTTGAAATTGAAGCACGTGTCATACTTCTCATTAATAAATGTCTTAAAGCCACCAAATTTAAATGACTTGTTGAACCTCACTGTAAAATATATTTTATGACTAAACTGTTATTTACACTAAGTTTAGAGCTTGCCAGAAAAAAGAATTTAAAAAGCTCAATTCATCTTTTTTAATACTTTACATTGCTGTAGTTGATTCATTTATTATCTTTCCTACAAACAGTAACAATGGATGAAGCATTGCGCACAAGCAGTACTTACATACGGATTACGTATGTAAGATAATGGAAAAGAATATTTTAAGACAACGATGGAATGCCTTTACTTATAAGACAAAGTATATTGGTTGTCTCCATAATGGATAAGCCCACAGATAATAGTCTCACACATTCTAGAAGAAATTTTACCTAAAGCTAAATTTACCAGGTAGTACGAAATTAAAATATTGAAAATTATTTAATTAGAATACTCTTTTTTCTATAAATATATTGCTCATTTCTTTCCTACTTCTTTGGCTGTAAGAAGTCATATGCACGCTTCCAATCTCCATTTTTTTTTTAAATTTGCATAACATTTTTACTAATGACATGAATTGTATTAAGTGAAAAAGAATATAGAATAACTGCATCTGCTTAGCACAGAATACCTATGGCTCTTCCCTCTAGACTAGTGTTTTCACCAGGGAAAGAGAAAAGTGGGAAAAAGAAATTTGCCTACAGAAAATATGTTGTTTAATAAAATTCCACACCTCCTTATGAGCTTCCATCATAAAGCTACAAGTGCATTCAATTGAATAAGCAGCTTCTGAGGCTTGTTTGTAAATACTGTAGTTTTCTGAACTCATCTGCTCCAAATATGCTACTGCGGACTCATGAACATTTGGATATTCCAAGGAGAAGGGCATGTCCAGAGACAGGAGAAATAAAGCAGCTAGTAAATTCTTCGGTAAAACTTTACTTGCCTTGAAAAAAAAAAAAAAAGGACTGTCAGAATAAAACAGAAAGAACAACTCTCAAATAAAGTAAAAACAACAGCATTTGCAGCCATTCAACAAACACAATCACTACTCTACACAATCACTGCTCTTTATAAATTAGAGAGAGACATATATCAAAGGAGTTTTTATATGAAGAAGTGAGAGACCAGTAAATACCAGTTTTGAGTCACACCTGCAGACAATAACAGAAGATGCATCAGATCCAGCCACAACATGAACTACTCAGACTGACTAGGTCAAATTACTATCAAACCACTAGATGGCAGAAAACACACAGATCACAATTATTTCAATACTTTAATCACTAAAAAGCTATCCCAAAATCCCACATAGTAATATAGCATACTAAGAATGGTGTTATGTTTGTACCAGGTTTTTTTTTTTTTTTTTTTTTTTTTTTTTTTTTTTTTACTACAAACGTTCATTCAACTAGAAATTGTGACCTCAAATCCAGTAATTCTTTTTCAATTCCTTTCATGCACAGAATTAAAAATTCTACACCAGGTATATAAGAGCACAGCGATCAAAAACATAAAATCTTATTGGATTAGTGTTTCTGTATTTATTTTCACGGACAAGAGATTACTTGCATTAATAATAAAATATTTCATGTTCATAAAAAAATCCATAACTAGGTGAATCGGAGTAACAGATTGAAAAAAAAAATCTGAGAGCTATCCCGTAACACAGTGATGAAAGCATAAAGATAGAGAGTTAGAGATAGAGAGTTTCTTGGGATTTTAAAATGCTTTAGAAGCTTTAAATGTCTTCCCACATCTTCTCTCCCACAAAAACTTCCAGATCAGATCACATCAGATCCCTGTCTAAACTGAATAGAAAAAACAACCCACAAAATACAACACAGGAGATTTAAAGAACATTAGAATCAAAAAGTAATTAAAGACAATCAAAGAATAGCTAAAGTCACTATAAAATACTAAAATTATTCACTATGTTCCATCAAATACATTGAGACAGTGATGACTATAAATAGTAAGTCAGTCTAAACAAAGTGCTTACTAGAAACAAGCAGGGGGCAGCACAGCTTTGCAAACCACACACACCTGATTAGAAAAACGCTACAGGAGGAAAAAGAACACTGAATTCTGAAAAGCTCACTAAAATAACAAGTATATTAAATAATGCTTGAAATCTGCACCAAACATCTGAATAATACACTGAAAACTGAAGATAGGGCAAAGTTGCCTTCTGTGGTCAAACCACAGCCAGTGTAAGTCAGGCGAACTTCACTATCCACAAAGTATTCTCCCAGCAATAATCATTGCAAAAGCTACCTCTTAAAATACAAAAACAACCCAAAACATAATCACTTCTAAAATTAGTGATGACCTCACCTTTTCTACAGGCAGAAGCATCTGCAGCAGCCTAACAGTGAAAAGGGAGATGCTGATAAATGCCATTCTATGATGCACCAGTATCATCTCGGGCTGCTCTGCACTAATATTGCTTTTGTGATAGGATATAGTTTCTCCAAGCAAATCAAACACAACAAGCAACTTGTCCTTCTGAAAATGGAATCAAAGATACAATCATTAGAAATAATTGCCACAATATTATTATAGTATCTTGAAATGCTTATACAGTTTCTGTACTATCTTTAACACAATTATACAAACTAATTCAAAAATGCAGAAATAATACATAATACATGGAGTTTCATTTATCATCTAAACAGAAGTTTGCATTACAGCTGTGGACTTGATTGCATTTTCACTTGTAGTTCTGAATACATTATTCTGTAATTACTCCTTAACTTGTTGCTCCCCCCTTCCCTTTTGTAATTTCCTCCTGTCTGTTTTTGAACTTTCAACATTTGATGTGGTGTATAAAAAAGTATTTTGAAGTTCACGTTTAAGATAGAAATCTTATGATCTAATTGGAATGTGCTAGTTAATCATGAAAAAGTAAGTTTACACATTCACATAAGTTTTGAAAACATCTGATGCTATTATTAGATTATTTCTAATAAAGGCGCATTTTTTTAAAAAAATAGATCATATAAAAATCTGCAATAGAATCTCTAGCATTTGGAGAGATCAAAAAAATCATCAGGAGAGAGCAACATGATTTTCTAGAATTTGGTCACCTGAAAAAAGCTAAGTGTGTATTTAAGGACACCTAACTCTGCCTTAGTTTTGACTGATCAAGCAGGCATATAAGAGATTTAGTTTAGTAATTCTGTAAATGCATTAAGATCTATAGCCTGACTCAACATGGCAGAAGTTGAAAAAAATGACAGGAAGCAACTGACTAAATTCAGTTAAGTCTTATAAAGTAATTATCATCAAAAATTATTTCACAGCAAGATGAACAGGTTGCAAGCTCATTTTAATAGCTCAAAAAAATAGATTTCTTCCTGCCCTACTAACAGAGCTGGCAGAGGCAAGTGGTGCCTCAGCTTCAAGACTCCAGGAATCTCAAATCAGCAGCTGAATCAAGCAGATTATTCTTCTGTAAAGGATGTCTGTCTCAAAGCAAATTATACAAAAATTCGAGAGGTTGAGGCTCTACAGATTCAAATTTTTTGATAGTGCAAAAATCAAACCATACTTAAATACACTTTGAAAAATAAGAAAGCAATAAAAATTTTACATAGGGATGATAATGAAAAAGCAAAATATATATATTTACAATTAAACATATTTTTGAAAGGAATTTCCAGTATATATATTTCTCTAAGATACTCTTTTTCACAGATTTTTTTAAAAGTAGATTTCAAACAAATAGCATCAGAGAATGAAACTATGCAAGAAATAATTTGAAGTTTCCTAGACAAGTGAGACTTTGCCTCTT